TATTCCGATTCACCGAAGTTTGATGGGTCGACAATTTGGCCAGTCGTATGTCGCAAAAGCTAAAAAAAGTTTCATTAAGCAAGCGCTGGTCAACCAATAAGGCGACAAATTATTCTTAGGTACGTCTTCAAGTAGTGGTACCTAATGAAATTATTGTTCAATGCCTTTGCCGTGGTTTTGTACGACTACCTATACCCTACCTATACTTGATGTTGTGCAATATTGACTTGTTGATTTTGGTAACGCGAGCGCTTGGAGAAATTTCGCGATGTTGCACGCGATATCGCGGGTTTTGGTGTTCATGGTACGTACCCAGGTACATAGTATCCTAAAATGTAATTACCCGAACGCGTCTTTTTGCTTACTTCACAATCAGCGCCTCCATTCTGATTCGATTTGTGATAATCGATTTTGATTGGATTCTTTCTTGATTTCTCAGTAAGAACTATCAAATTCCCATGTAAAATACCATCTCCCCGGATCCACTGTCCAAAAACTTGGCGTTCATGGGTCAGGTTAAATAGTCTAAAAATGAGTCATTTTTACATTGCATTACATTGCATTAGTGCTTCATACTTAACCTAATTGAGACTATATTTTATCCGGCGGCTGCTGAAGAACGAACCATATGGCCTCATCTTCTTGACCAAGAAACAGTACCATATCCACTTTGTGTATTTTCAGTCTCGTCTAACTACATTTCTCCGCGTTTCGGATTATTTAGGTCTCGTTCTTGATACCCCTGTCCGGACGTCAAGTCGATCCATGAAGTGATCTAGGTATTGGATACTACCCTTCTACTCAATTTCAACGAGGATAAGTACTGGTGGTTATCACCTCACATCTTTTTTTTTAATTATTCAGTCTCATCTCATACTCTTTCTTTCGTTCTTCATTCATTCGCATTAGACATCTCTTCTGTCATCAATCTTTTTAGAAGAGCTGTGCTCATCGTCATATCATCATACCATACCTTTTAATATTCTTCAGTTGATCTTGAAGCAATCGAAATATCTGGAGCCGGCTCCTTCATCAGAACTTTAATATAGTGTTTTCTTCATAGACACAGACCACCTACCGCTCACCACCACTCTACTCATATTTTTGCGTAAGTCAAGCACCTGAAATTGCTAATAAATTTATACCTCAATGACATTGATTAACATTTTTATGTATGCAGTCCGGTAGCAGACATGTCATTTGATTATTCTTCGTTCTCATTTGAGCCAACTACTCCACCACAATTCACATTTGAGGAGCCTTTAATCAGTGCTCCTTTCAGACTTGGCCACTCTCGATCAGGTTCGCAAGTGTCAATGTATTCTCGAGATTCATCTCCATCCGATTCTATCAGCATCTCAAGTACCCAGATGACTACTCCGGCTAGATCACCAATCAGACAACATGGCCCACTTCTCCTACCTAAGATTCGTCCACAAGATCAGGAAATCAATGCTTCGCCCTCAACTGGATTGAGAGTAACCAAAACATCAAAAAAGAATGCTGCTAGCCGTGCATTCAAACCTACTCATAATAGGAGTTACACGAATCCCGAGACAATCGTGTTTAACTCTGATATATTCCCCTCGAATACCCGTCCAATGTCCACTCTTTGCTCACCAATGCACGCTGTTCAATCAGTTGAAAGTCAGCAACACAGACGTTCCTCAAGCTCCAGTCTTGATGGTCAAACACTCGGCAAATATGGATTCCCAACTTATCGTCAAATGCCAAACTATATCCAACAATCTCCAAATATGTCAGTCATGGAATCATACTCACCACAACCACATGAACGATACCCAACTCCTGCACGTGAGCCATCTCCCCTTGCTCAAATGAGCAGCATAGACGACATTCACCCCATCCACATCTCCGACAATTCAACATCCAACCTCGCCACCTACCTCACCTCTCCCAACCCCGCTCCAGCTCTAGTCCGTCAACTCAACATCCATGTCCGAGACACAAACGCTAAGCATTTCTGGTGGGATATCCGACAAATCCGACCCTGGACCTCCTTCAACACTACCACTATTTCCTCCATCCCCGGTTTTCGCGATCTACTGAACCTCGGTCTCCCATCCAGCATTTTCCAACAACCATCGCGCGCTTGCAACAATCCCGAGAATGAACACGAATTGCAAAACATCTACACCCAATTCTACGCTACAAAACTCAACCACGCACTTTCCATCTCCCAAGGAACCCGTCATCTCATGATGCGTGCATCAACAGTCATGGGACAAAAATCCGGCGATCCATCTTTTATCTCCAACTACACCGACGACAACTCCCAACTAATCTACGGACGAGGCCTCGGTCGCGTCGTCGGATTAGTCAAATCCTTTGATCGCTGGAATACCGGTATGCGCGTCGAGGGCAACCATCGCAAAGTGGAATATCTCCGGGGCCTCGCGCATCTACACAAATGCATGCGCGAACACGGATGTCGCTATGGATTTATCATGACAGAAATCGAACTTGTCGTCGTACGCAACGGATCCGAGTCCGTGCCGCATTTTGGATATCTGGAGGTTCAGACGATTCAGCTTGCTGCGCATGCCAGTTCTACTTCTGCATTTTCCGAGATGGAGAATTCTTTCGAGGAGGAGAAGTTGGAGAATATGACGGCGTTGATGGCGCTTTGGTATTTGCATATGCTTGCGAGAGATGAGATTTTGCCTGGTCAGATGACATGGAAGACGGAGATTGGGGCGCCGGCTGAGGGGACGAGGAGGAAGATTTTGCCAAAGGATGATTGGATTCCGGAACCGCAGTTGGCGGAGAAGAGAGAGGCGAAGAGGGGTCGTGGGTGGGTTTGGCCGGAGGAAGGTGTGGGGAGGAAGGAGTTGGGGAAGAGGGGTGTGAGGTATTAGGTTGGTGATGGTGGTGGTGGAATAGAAGGAAGGAAATGAGAGGGATATGGAGATGAGGGGAAAGTAAAGGGAAGAAAATAAAATAGAAAACCGCAGGCCGGTTTACGAATGCATTGAGGAGTTGGGAACCGGACTGTATTGGAACTGCAATTGGTAAAGGATGCAGCTTGGAGTAGTCTAATGGATGGGTATTTGGGTGGCATAGTGAATAACCAGGAGTATTGTTAGCGAATAGTATTTTACACTTCTAATAACTGTAACTTGTTACTGCATTTCAGTTCATAGGTGTTCCCATGTGAGTAGTCGTCTTACAATTCGAGAATAATATACCGCTTTTGAGGTTTTGTAGCAAAAGTTGGCAACTACCTAGGTATTCAACCCCTGGACTTTGAATTAAAGATGCGGCACAGACAACTCTAAGCGGGCACTGGCCCCATTACAACTGCTCGCTCCGAGTCTAAGCATGATTTGAGATGTCCCCCGAAGGCTACAGCGTGTTGTTTACGGATAAGTTTCCCGGTGCGATGGGTCTATCCAGATTCCTGGGATTTTGTAATTTGTTTATTAAGGAATGGACATCCTTTGATTTCCAGTCCATCCAACACATCCTCAAAAAAAATAGAAAATTGTTCAGCATGATTAGCTTTCTATATATATTGGTGAGTCTAAATTTCTAGTGTCTTTTTCATACAATTCCATACGAATCGTTATACTATACATTGAAAAATCCAGTAGATGCAACTAAAACTTCTCATAGTTTTACATACTCCTCCCAGACCTCTACTCCATCCTGGCATCTTCACCTCAATGTCCTCTTTTACATTCTACCATCACCGTCACAACCACAACCACAACCACATACCTCTCCATCACGACATCCACCACAACAAGAAGCAGAACCAAGCATCCCTGTTTCCAACACGAAGCACCCGCTAGCTGTTTCGTCACCACGTACTCAACCACCACGCCATTCACATGGCCAGCCGTCGGTACACCCACGAAAACTCGTGCTTACAAGCCCGGATTTACACCAATGAAGGATCTTCCACTTGCCCCTGGTACTTCTGGATCTTGTGAGAAGTACGACAAGCGTTTGGGTAAGTCGGATAGGATCAACATATGTGGATTTGTTGCGCGTTTTTATGATGGTGAGTTTATGGATTTCTCCACTTCGTTCCTGATATCCCACCCCGTTGAGATTGTATGTCTATGTTTAATCTACTGACGAATTGTTTGGGGAATGAATAGGCAATGTGCATGATTTCATCGCGTGGAATCCATCACTTACATTGGATGCCAAAAATACTAGTTCGTGTGTGCTTGCCCCGGGATATCGCTATTGCGTTAGAAAAGACACAGCCGAAATGAATGTCACTGCTGGTGCTTCTTAGATACTTATGTTGGAGGATCTATGAGGCTTGTCACTGCAGCCGGTCAATCCTGACATACTCACTAAATAATTCGTGTGATGGGGATTATGGCACGTGATCTCCCCTTATTCACCATACATCTTCGAGGCTTCGAGCTGCAATGAAAAGTAGACATTATGACAGCACTTTAGTATAAGGATGCTAGTCAGTCTTTTGAAATTTATTCACTCAATTCTGTCGCAAGTATCAATAAAGTGTTTACTGTAGCCGCTTAATTTTTTTGAATTCAATGATGCAAGTGATGGCTACCTACTATAACTAATAGATATGTCTCTGGGTTCCGCATAGATCCAGGTGGTAAAGGGAAGGAACTTGACATAAAAATATCATATCGGTATATTCTGAGAGCGTTTCAAATTGGCATTAAATAATATTCATTGTATGATTTCGAGATGTCAAAAGTTCAGAAGTAATGAACATTAAGCTGTGGGTATAGTATCACTGATGTGACGATAGAACCCTTTGCGTTTGTATACTATACGAACATTATGTCATACAATATTACTCACAAATCATAATATCAAGTGCAAACTCCCGAATCATCTGTCCCTAGTAGTGATTGATTTTGTAAACTCAAGGTTGTCAAAAATGATTTGCCGGCTTTGGCGTTCGATTATACATTTTGAAAAAACCCCACATAAAATCACAAGTCAAACATCCAGCCGTTGTAACATCAAACCAAAATGAATTATTACTTAGACGGGAGATCTGGTATTTCAAAGTTGAAGCGTGAAGTGTCGATTAGAATAACATCTTCCACAGTACTCAATAATCTCCTTAGTTGTACGAGGATGTTACTGATTTCTATGGCTCGGGCCGAAGAGGTAGGTCGAGATAGTTCCGTCTCCCACTCTGCGATCATTGCTCGTAGGCGTCTTTCAGCCCATTGTTGTACTCCTTCTAGTCTTTTGAAAAGAGCATAGAAAATGAATTCCCTAAACAGTCTAGCGGTATTTATCTCGTCGTCGTCGGCGCGATCTTCGTTAATGGCGTCGTCAAAATTAGAGAATATCTCGTGAATGTTGTTTAACACGGTGGCCATATTTTCATTCACAACTTGACTGTTGAGATAGTTGAAGATGGCCGTAGCAGCTCGAACAGTTGACATACCTCTTTGCACCGCAAGAGAGCCAGTACCTTCACTTGTGTCATCAAAATTCCTCGTTATCCATGTGCTGTCCGACATAGGATTATTCCCCTGCCAGACCTGTAGCTTGATACCATTAAAGACACTTTCGGCATTGACAAGTACACTGGGGTTAGTGTCATCGCCAAAAGCCCTCCAAATATCGTCCATAGGCGTGGTTTCGGAAATCGTAGATGACCATGAGTCCCAGGCTTGTTGAAATGGCCCTTCAGGACCGAGCAATGCTTCTTCAACGGGTGGAAAATCAGTTGTCATAGGATTTTCATCAAAAACTTTGAATTCACCACCCATCATCCATTCCAGTAGCATTTTGAACGTACTTAACTCCACAACATGCTCAGTCACCCACTTGGCTCCGTTCGGATCACCGGCATTGGTGAATGATGGGTCTTCGCAGTCTTCAGGATTTTCCAACCAATAGTAACCTGCCTCTGGATTGACACTCAGAAGAAATGCTCCTCCTCGCTGGTTGGGATATCTGTGAGACTCAATTACAAAGGTAGAAGTGGGTGTTTTAACAGTAAATTTCCTTGGAGCCCCATAAGGCCGGGGCAGAAGAAAATGTTCTTCCTGAGCTGGTACGAGTGAATCATTGGTATATCCCCTCCGTCTTTTCTCGTCTGCAATAACATCTCCTGTTTCTGGGTCGATGAGCCAGTCCGGGTCAAAATCGGACATGTTACTGGTTTGATAACAGACTATTTTAGTTGAACTGTTACCAGAACATCCGACAAAATCGCCAGTAATCACAGCACCCGATCCCCAATTAGGGGCAGTACGTAACGGTGCATCGTTCGAAGTACCATTGGTGAAAACGTATGGCGAACCAACGGATCCCACTAGGTGACTGGTATCATCTTGCTCCCACTTTGACGAGATCCCAGATGAGTAAACCTCAACTCCAACCTGTTGATCACCACCAATAACACTGATAGTATTATCGCTGTCACTGACAATGCGGACATAGTGTGGCACATCTACTAAAAATTCCGCAGTAGCCCCTTTGGCACTAGTGCCCATATTGTACACATCTATTTCTAGCCATGTCCGCATTGCGAGGAGCAGTCCGAGAAGCGTAACGCTGGAGCTAGAGTCTCTCTCGTTCAATGTCTGGCCTGCGAATACTGGCGAGCCACCGGCAAATTCGGTCCAACATTCGGGCCCCACAACATTCTCAATATCACCAGAAAGGTCGCCCAAGGATAAAGGTGCATTTGTTCGAGCATATCCATCGGTCCCAGCCCTGAAACTGAGTCTAAAATCCGAATTAATGGTTCCCTGCCCTGTCATACTTGCTAAAATGTTCATTTTAGGAGTAAAGGAAACAATTCCTGGTTCACTGAATGCGAAATTGGAGATATCAGTATCGAAAACTGATGCTGGCTTTGTGCTACCGCCAACGTTGATTGATGCCTTTCCATCAAGTATGATGGTGCCTGCCATATCCATGTCAACGTCGAAAAATCCATAAGTTTCTTCGAAGCTGATCTCAGGGGAAATTGTCCCTACCATGGTCACTCCCCATCTGAGTTTACTCGCAACTATGAAGGTGTCAGTGAACGAAGGGGATCACATTGGACCATGCGAAGGGTTAATCAAGTAGTCTGAATAGCAGAGACAACTTTTATATCCATGTTCTGCATTTAGTCGCACTAGGGAATCATAAACCCCTATGAAAAATAAAATGACTAGCCGGAGCCCTCTAGTTCGATATTAAGCCATCCGTCGTCCTCACCACAGCTACCCGTCACATCTCCAGAGTATAACAGCTGATAAATATCGTCTTCTTCCAGATTCAGCGTATACGCATTGGGCAGACCGAGATTACGAATCGCATCGAACTCAGTCTTCCAATCTGCCGCGTCGGCACTCCAGAATCGCTTGTTTACGGATTCGTTCATACCTCTCTTTGTGATTGCATCTGCCAAAACAATATCATTCCAATATCCTACGGTATCACCATAGTCGATTCGAACATAAACTGTTCCGGAATCCCGTTTGACAAGTGTGTAATCATAGGTAATATCCATTTCGTACACGGGAGGATTGGGCGACGGAGTTCTCTGGCGAAGTTCGTGCTCAACTGTCAGGTTATTCGATAATCTGATAGCTCTAACGACACCATATGTTCCAAAACCACAACCCTCAGGAAGCTTGACAATGGTACCCTCTGCCCCGCCTTGATGGACCGCGTCGGAATTAGATTCGGTAGAATCATTCATACAAACATAACGTACTGTATAAATTGACTTGGGATCTCGTTTCTCGGTGGGCTCACAATCTAGAAACTCGATATGCGAATCGTCTCTCTTAGAGAGACTGGTTACTACATCAGCGGGCCCATCAATCACAACCACTACAAAGTCAGATGTTAGTGAACCATTCTTCAAAATTAAGTCTGACATAGAACACCAAAACTTCTCGGCGATTCTTTTGCTCTCAGTCTGGTACCGCTCTTGGAAGTGGTCTTTTTAGAGCGATAATTAGTGGACATGAAATTTGCTTACTTCCAAATGCCCCGGAGACTGTATCCGAACCCGAGGATGTAGGGGAATTTTGAATGGGCTTGATTTCAAAGTCCGGAATATCTGTAGTGGGTGGTAAAGTGGGAAACTTGAATTGCGTTAGTTTCTGTGAGTAAATTTCTTTCAATGTCTCGTAAAAGGCAAGGGGGAAAAACAAAGACTCTTACAATATTTGCGAGTGGAACCGGTAGGAACGGGTTGAGACTATTCGGCGGTGTACAGCACAGAACTTTGCTTCGACCATTCCAGCCACTGGCACATAACGACGTCGAGTTTCCATAATCATCAGTGCATAGTTCTATCTCATAGCTTTTTTTGTCAGAGTGGGATCATTCGTGGAAGGCTAGACTTGGAAATAACTTACTCGGCACATTCGTTGTCATCGCAATTCCCTTTGCCAATCCAATGGCAATCGTCAAAGCCAGAATCACAGCAATAAGCTTGTTGGATAGTGCGATATCCACTGTAATCAATATCGTGCCCATAATCATATGTGTTTCTCATGCGACCCATGTTTTTTCCCTCAGCACAGGTGTCGTCCGCAGACCCAGTCACAAGAGCCAACCAACTCGCTCCAAGTGTTGGATTTGCAACAGAAAGATTGCTGACCAGGTGATAAACAATTAACAGTAGCATGTTTGGAGTGAAAGAGGGTGACTTCGTTTGTGTGGCATTGACCATGACATGCACGACCTGTCTCACCACCCCTCCATTGACAAGTACTAGGCATAGCATCAATAGGGCAGATGATGTATTTCTTCTTATTTTTCCCACAAGTATCAGTAAAAGCACCACCATTGGGTGCAATTGCGAAGTCACTTCCCCAGGATCCCACTTCAGAGTCACTGAGGGCAGTCAGTTTTCTGACAATCTTGGCCATTCTGGCTGGCCCAACTGCCGGCAACCGAAGTAGATGCAGTCTCGAGCTTAGATAATTTAAGGATATCTTCGCCGATTAGACCTTTAAGGGCATCAAAATCAGCATCATCTTGATCAACAGACCAGATCATCACTCCACCCAGTCTATTATAATGTTAGATACCAATCAAGCGAAGGATTGATGGGCAACAGATAAACTTACCCAACGCTATTGGCCCATTCTACCTTCTGCGCAAATGTATCGCTGTCATCATAGCTGACCCACTGGTTCTTTGTGGCACCATACTGGAAATACTTTACAGCATCGGTCTTATCCCAAGTAACCTCGGGGGTCTGTTTATCTATAATATCCATGATCTCAAAGTATGCAAGCGTTCCTGCACTCTTAGTGCATGTTCCTGCTTCAGCAGCACCGGAGAATGCACATCCTGGAGATCCACAAGACGTGTCCGACAGTTGGAATGAACGTCCATAGAAACCGAGACCTAGGACAACCTTCTCTGGAGGAATACTAACTCGCCAAAGAAGCTCGACTGATTCTTTGATTTCGGTGAGGTTTGTGTGGGCTTGTACTATACTTCCGATAGGATCGGTCGAATCCCAAGTTCCATGCAAGTCATATGCTGATTCTGCGTCAGTCATAATCTGTAAGATTTTAAGATACCATCGAAAGAAAGTCTTACTCATTAAGTTGATCCAATCGGCATATAATATCATTCCTGGTAGATCAAACCATTGTAGATACCAGTATGAGCTTGTGCCGTGAAGCTGATTCCGTATGAGCCATCAGAATTATCAAAAGCTTCACGCACAGCTTCCAATAGAAGAACATAATTTTCCGTATCCTCTACTTTTGCCGCCTCTGTCGGGAGCACCGGGGTATTCCCAATCGAAGTCGACTGGAGTAATGTGAGTCAGTCCTGGTATTTCAAAATCTGACAAATTTCCAAAAAGCTTTTGATAATGCCGAGATCATCACCATGGAAGCGCCGTTTCATAATGAGCGTGATTTTTCAGGGTGTAAAATTCAAGCCGAAATGAATCACTTACCTCCGTCAAGCCATATTCTTTCAAAAAGTTAACAAGATTACTGGCAAACTTCTTTCGGTTCGGTGCGCTCGATGCAATATTGGAAAATAATGGGCTGTGTCGTAGTTAAGTCGTCTGAGAATGACCAGCCACCAATGGAGATGAAGATTTCAACATCTGGCAGGCCAGAAGTGAGTGACTTGATATCTGCAGTTCCAACGAACAGAGAAGTTGGCATATCAGACTCCATGGTAGTAATTTGAAATGTGTCGGGATCAATGTAGGCGAAGGTAAAGTTCACATGCGTGAGACCCGAAGTCGGAATAGCACTAGGAGGGAAGGCATAGCAACTGCGTGAGTTTGACCTATCATCTCGTTAAAAACGAGAAGTGCCTCGTCCGAAAAGATTGTCTTACCATCCTTCATAGTATCCAATCACTCTGTTTAGAACCCCCTTCTTGTTTCCACTAGAAGGAGGAACAGGATCTAACACGCAATTGTTTGGCAACCGTCGGAACAAAAGAGCTCTCCAGTGCCGCAAAAGCCATATTGCGAACAACAAACATTCAAAAGGACAAAGAGTGTTTCCAAAAAGTGCATCTTTTCCGCCTGCAAGATGTTAGATTGATCAAGGTAGCATCAGTGACATTTCTCACATGGTGCTGTGGCATTGCAATTAGATGTACAATCATCTCCGCAATAGGTAGAGCCTGCATCAATTTAGTAATAGCTTATAATGGGAGACTGAATCAATACCATATCCGCATACTCCTACTGTTGTTCCCTCGTAGGAACCACTAAGAGAAATTAATACACTTCTCACAATGTAATCTATTGGGAGAAAATGGGGGAAATCACCAGCATGCACCATTTGCACATGGCTTGTCCTATCACATGAGTTAGCGGACAATTGCCAACCATCGTAGCTTGTCAAAACTTACTGCAGAACAAACGTATTCATCATCGTCACGCTTGAATCCCGTGTTACGAAATGTTGAAGACAATTCGGCTTGCGTGGGTAATGACTCCTTGGTCCTTAAAACCTGAAAACCATGTCCTATGTACGGCCCGGAAAGAGTGATGGTGATAACTAAAAAGAAAAGAGCTAAAAGAGCGTTTTTTTGAGCGTAGCAGCCGCAACTGCTCTGCCATAGTGAGAAAGAAGGTAGAGTAATGAATGAAAACCACTGATGAAGTAAGAGAGGAGCCTTCCGAATGTCACACCAAAATGGAATAGATATAGAAAAGCAGCATGTTGATCACTTGGTACATGGACTTCAAACTCAATTTATCTTCTGGCTGCAATCTCCCATAGTCAAGATATTGAGATTCAACTGCCGATCCGATGCAATATATGGATCTAGCCCTCGGAAGTGGAAAGAGCCCCATGTATACTGTGAGACTCGGAGATGAGTTACTACATTACCAGTAAAGTCACCTATCGTGCTGTCCTACAATCGTATCATTTTGCGAAGAGAAATTTGCTCTTAAATTGCTACATACATGTGATGTAGATGTTATCGGCCGAGATTACAGGTACCCCAGATAGATTGATGTTTTTAAGTTGAAAGAGGAAAATCCCAAATGCAGGTTCCTTCACAGTAAAATTATCAACAAGGTGGAATTGTGGAGCATATATATTTTCCCGAGAGGTATAACTATCTCATTTGTCGGAAAATCGGCGGCTAACTTACAGTACTAGTCAACTGCTATCAGCCGAAATTCATTTTCACACCAAAAATCGACATTTTGCTATATTTTTAAAATCAAAAATCTTTATGAATTATAAATCGAATTATTTCAAAATTTATTTCTATAGAGTTTTTTATAGTAATGATTAATATTTTTGATATTTTAATATTTTCAGAAATTTATATTATGGAAATTTATAGTATTGAATTAAATTATTAAAAAAGTTGCTTGATTTTCGCTTATTTTACTAGTAAATCTAATCATTTTGAAAATATACCAACTTTCAATCCATATAACATAATCAAAAAAAATCAAAAAAATAATTAATCTTATTTTTATTAAATTTTAATTAAAAATAAATCAATAAATACAAAAAAAAGTTATATTATATTCATAATAAGAAGAAGATCTAGGATTATAAATAGTGAGTTTTGGTGTGAAAATACGTTTCGGCTGATAGCAGTTGGCACTTACTGTACCCAATTTATTTTGATGTTGCAGTTGGTGATTGCCACAACCCCTGATGTCCAGATGCGGCACAGACTACTATAAGCGAGCACTAAGCCAATTGTGATCGTGTTCTCCGGATCTCATTTTTTCCCGACAACCCGAAGCGTCCAGGTTTCAAGTGTGGGATCCACTTTCCTAGGGGTCTTAAAAGTCTAAGTCATCGACAGATGCACATCTTTTGGCCATTGCATGTTAAGATAATTTTTCGACATGTCTCGCCTTCAATGTTCTTTGGTCAGTGTATTCAATATTCCCATGATCACGCACCTCTGTCGCCACTGAAATCCTGTATCTGACGTTCAAACTAGATCTTCGGTTTGCTGTTGCAACCATTGGTTGAATCTCAAATTCTTCTTGGGGCCCCTCAGATTGAGGCTCCGGGAAATTTCTCTACAGCTTGCAAGTACGTTGCTCATATCGAAAACTTGTGGAAGACAATGCTAAATAATTTTCACAACATAGTGCTACTTTTAGTGAGGACATCGCATGTAACATAACGCTGTATGAAGTCGCACTGGGAAAGCTATTTCCCACAGTGGACGACCTTTCTAGCATTTGCACTGACGCCTGTCTGGGAGCTCTTGAAACTTTGCGAGCTCAGCAACTGTTGGAATGCAGCAGTTCCGATTTAGTGGTCACCGCAGGAGAGACATATCCTCCAACTCTCACTACTGATATTCTCTTATTCACATACAATTACACATGTATACAGGATCCGTGGGTATGCCCGTGTTTCTGTTAGTTTTTGACTGATCTCCTTGCCCATAGAACCACAAATGGATACTGCTATCCGGACTTTTTTGCATGGAATAATGATACTGAAAGCACGACCTCCACTGAGGTCTGCTCCGATTGCAATTTTCTTATTCAGCAGAGCCAGCTAGATTCACCACTTGGATGGGATGATGACTCCGCTCGCATGTATTCATCACTAACGTCTTCGTAAGTTAGTTCAGATATGCAATCACGAATACACACAAAAAAAAAAAGTCTCACTCACTAACCACTCGACAGCTGCGGAGTGACGAAATATCCAGTCGCATCCCCAAGTCCATATTCTCTAGATGTCACAGCTACTGTCTCATCGACTGCAAATCCTTCGACCACTACAGCCGCATATGCATGTGTATCAATGTACACGATTCAAGAAGATGACACTTGTAGTTCCATCAGCGAGTCCCAGCAGGTGGCGACATTCTATCTGATGCAAGCGAACAATCTTCCAGGATACTGCTCAGAGATTCCAGATCCAGGGACAAGTTTATGCATCCCACAAAGCTGCGAGCTTTACACAGTGGCAGCAAACGACACTTGCTACGAAATTGTCCAAAACCACAATGTGACGTTCTCCAGCACACAGCTAATTTCTTGGAATCCCAACATCAACAAAGGATGTTCAAATCTGAATCAATTAGAAGGCTACCATATTTGCGTCAGGCAAGAGAATGATTTCCTATTCAGTGCAGTTTCGCTTGATGTCATGTTTTAATATAATGACTTTCATCCGTGCATAGTTACCCTGGAGTATCAACTGCTGCTTCGACAGGAAGTGCAAGCGTCACAACGCCCATAGCGTAAGCCTAGCTACCCCCAAAAGTATTCTGACTATGAGTATAACTACCACTGACTTTCTTGAAAATGTATAGATCGGTTCCGACAAACCTAGCACCAAACACAACGACAGAATGTAAGCTTCATATTCCGCCTTGTGAAAGATTCGAGTAAAGCGACTGACAATCATTCTTTTTTAGGCGGAGAATATTATCTAGTGCTAGATGGAGACGACTGCGCGAGTATATCCATTGCCAAGGGCATTTCCCTGACCGACTTCTACTTCCTGAATCCCATGGTAAATAGTACATGTGGAAATCTCTGGACTGACACCTACTACTGTGTCGAGGCAGTAGGAAATATCGCGACGTATCTTGAATACGGGTAAGCACTCTACCAGTCAAATGTCCAGGCTCTGTTGAATTCTTCCAGCTGCTTGCTTTGGAAGCGAATTATTCTGCTTTCTATTCGCTGATCACATACTCTAATCACAGGGGTACATCAACAACGAAGAATCCATGTTCACAACTCGATGCCCCCGCCAGCTGCTTCGTCACCACATACCCTACCACTACGCCATTTACTTGGCCAGCAGTGGGCACGGTGACTACGACTGCTTTGTTGACTAATCATACATCCCTTGCCGACCTTCCACTTGCCCCCGGCACTTCAGGATCCTGTTCGCAATACGCAGAGTACTATCAGAGCAAGTCCAATATCAACTCATGTGGGGCCATTGCCCATTTTTATGATAGTGAGTTTTTTATCCTTTTTCTGTAGAATTCTCTAACACATTTCTCCATATTATTGATTCTTCTCGCTGGATAGAAAAGTCCATTTTACTGACAATTCTTCATTCTGTGGCTAGTTACAATATCAGATGTCGTCGCATGGAATCCGTCCCTCACGTATGATGCAAGCAACATAACTTCATGCGTATTTCTTCCCGGCTATCGTTACTGCGTCGCAGGAACCACTACAGGGTCAGATGGTACCTCCAGCATCTCACCCAATGGTCTGTGCGGTGCCGATAATACAAACTATACATGTGAAGGTAGTGCATTTGGAGATTGCTGCTCGGAATATGGAAACTGTGGTTCGACGAGCGACTTCTGTGGCGTGGGGTATCAGTCGCGATTTGGTAGTTGCACAGTAGCGTCTGCGACATTTTCATCTGTGACCGATACGGCTACGACTACTACTGCATTGCCAACCGTCACTCTCTCACCTGACGGCTCATGCGGTGGTGATAGTGGTAAGTGAACTACGTAAAAGTTTTTTCCTTCTCTAGAATATTCTAGGAGATGCTTCACACACCCATGATCGTTACTGGAAGCTGTTGCTAATCTCTGCCATTATAGGATATACCTGCGAGTCTCCAAACTGCTGCAGTGAAAGTGGATATTGCGGTAACACTTCCGACTTTTGCGGTGTAGGATGCCAGCCAGCGTTTGGTATTTGCTCCACCAGTTCTACGATTACTACTACTACAGCAGCCGCTGCACCAACCCAAATTGTATCTTCTAATGGCGGATGTGGTAGCGATTATAATAATTGGACATGTGCTGGGTCGACCTTTGGAAATTGCTGTAGTCAATATGGATTCTGCGGTAGCAGTAATACATATTGCGACGTTGGATCGGGTTGCCAAACGGCCTTCGGTGAGTGTGGTTCTTGAAAACTTGTACGTGACCTTTGAGCCGGGTGTATTGGAATATCACCTCGCGATGAGTATAGATTGTGGTGAAGGGAGTTGTAATGGCCATCTTTCCGAAAATAATTCATGCGGTTATATCCGCCGAGATAAAAAAAAATCTTTGCCCTAATATGTTGAACATTGCACCAGCTCGTACATCATACCAACAACGGCTCTTTACACTTTGCAATGGTCATTTAATCGAAATAAATCCAAATTTTTACTAGAATTATAACTTGGTTATCTTCTGATGTAATCTCAAGAATGACTCGCGGCCACGCAGACCTTCATGGCCAAGTCGTTACGGGGACTCGAATAATCTTGCATGATGACAAATAAGAAAAACATGAGCAGAAACTCATTTCTTATATTGTGTCTTCACAGTTTTAGACTGCAAATATGGAAATATATCATTCGATTAAAACAATCATTCATGGTAAAGGCGATTTCATACCTGAGCGATAGGCTGGATATGGCGCGTCAGGGTCCTAGATATCGCTATTAGCACATTTCATACCACAACAGTAGAATGCTTTCTAAAAATGTAAAAAGTGTGAGATGTGGAAGGAGTACAAACCATCACCTCTGCGGGACCTCCCTTGGTGTTCACATATCGCAATTTCCAATCCTCGCTTTTGGACATGAAGCAGTAGTACAACCAGTCGAAGACCTTAGGAAGAGGAATCCTGATATAGCCTTCGAAATCGAGTGCATCTGTGTCTTTGTAATCTGGATCAACAGCTCGTAAAGACAGTGTAGTATCCCAGGGATCCGCTTCCCCAGGACTTTTAGGTTTGTAAAGAGTCTTCGTGGATATCACATCGTGGTCAAGAGCCGCTTCATCTACCACTAAAAAGCAATCCGTTGCTCTCCCGCTAGGTATTTTTCCATTTACCCTCATTCTCTTGAATCGTTGTCGTAGGGTATCTAGGCTCGCGCCATCTAGTTCTGAATCAGAAACAAGAAGAGATTTCTGTGTCGTGACTAGGGTGTTTGCTTTACTCCAACAGTCACGTAGGACAGTAGCTGCGGTCATTCTATAAATGCCTTTGAAGACATGCCATTTTTTATCTATCCCTTCATGATAATCTGTCCGAAATATAACAAACCCCCAATGAGCTAGCTTTGCGGCAAGCATTTCCTGTACCCATTTCGGCCGACCAGCTTCTCTTTGCGCGGCGAAGGCGGCACGCATTTCCTGTGCTTTCTGCTCACGCCTTCGTTCCCTAACTGGCTGATTGAGCTGTCTTAGTTCATCCCATCGTTTGCTGGCAAGGCGGTTAATCGCATTGTCATAAGGATTACCCAAGGAGATTTGTACTTTTTCGACAAGCTGACGTTCTTCATCCATAAGGTCCATAGACGACAAGAGATATCTTTTCCCACTGGCTAGATTACCTGGCTCCAACGTAACGCCAAATAAGATGATATCGGCCTCTTCCTGAGTAAGGGTAACGTGGCTGACTGCCACTTTATCCTTCAACTCCGCCATAGTTAAGCCAACCTTTTCCACACAAAGTCTGTCTTCTTCATCTGGCGGTGGAAGCCCATCTAACTGATTCTTCTCTGCGCGAGTGATTGATGTGGGGTCTGTCAACAAGGCAACACGCTCATACAGTGCTTTGTCCTCGGGTGGCATTCGAAGATTTTTGGTGATGGAGAACGTCGGGAACTGGGGTGCGTTAGATGATCCCGAGTCGGTTGACATCTTGAATGCTCGAAATAAGATAGATGCACGATATGTAGATGACTGTGATCGGTGGTAAATGCATTGATAAAGGTAAATGCATTGATAAAGGTAAATCTAGCTGAATGCGTAGAGAAGACGGCGATATGTACTCCCCTTAATGGTCCGTGCTCCGAAGACATGTGATTCGACACTTTATCCATAGCGTAGGGTAACGTCCTCAACCGTCGTAATATTCTCGCTCGAAGAATACTGTCAATACTGTATGGTGATTCGCATACACCTGATAAGACTATAAGAGGGAGTGATATTATTCTATTTTGCAAGGAGAGTTGAGAAACAGGAAACAAGAGATGAGATGAAGAGCTTTGAGATGTGATATTGAATTGTAGGAGCTAGCAGCATTGGTTTGGATCATGATTCACGGGACTCATTGTCTCTAGGTATGCCTAAGCTTCTCGTTCCAGATCAACTCGGGGTGATATCAGATATCTATCTAGTTCAAAGGTGCTTCAAGCGAATTAGATTGAGTACCTAGGTAGATGAGGTTTCTCGTGTGATTTACATGAGCTTATTCGAATGTCGAGTATCTGATTACCTAGGTACCTAGTTAGTGTCAACTTATCTACCTAGTATTTGATACCAAAAAACACATCTGCGTATCACTCGCCAGCCGGGTTGAACTTTTAAACACAAAGTGATGAATCTCCCACCTAGCAAATCGAATTGAGCAAAATATCACATCAGAAATATTGTGAAATCTCGGATAGACTTCGGCTCAAACTCTAACACTCCGACACGCTTAGATGAGTAAGCTCACATGACCTCGAAAAATTGTGTTGCACATCTAGAATTGAGGACCTGGAGGGTATGGATGTGCTACTGCTGTATGTAATACTTAAACAATCAATAATATATTTATTCGTCCTATCAATACAATTAGGCGGTTTATAGCGGGGTTACCTATAAGGATTTTCACCATGGGATGAGATTAGAGCAGGTACGATGTGAGAATTTTGGATTTATTTTGTGAGGTGATTAATAGGTTATACCTATCTTTTGATTTTTATACGATTGGATTGATATCATTGTCTACATTCACTTCGAGTACTCTGTATCTTTGTGATTCTTGATCATTGAGTTTGGATTCGGATTCGGATTCTGATAAGGAATACAAGTGAGTACCTATTCATAAGATGGAGGAAGTAAGCACCAGTCATCCATTGGTTTGGATTGATTGTGAGGTATGTTATTTCTTTACTATTACCCCTCTATTGTTTATCTGTTTATCAGATTAGATATCGACTCCAATGTACGCGTTGGATTAGAATTTGAGGGATATAATATCCACAGGCTTGCAAGCTAACAATGACATATTATAGATGACAGGACTGGATGTTGAAAACGATGTCATTATTGAAATCTCGTGTGTAATTACGAATGGAAATTTGGAGGTGATGGACGAGAAGGGGTGGAATGCTGTGATTCATCAGGAGCAAGAGACGATGGATAAAATGGTTTGTACCTCTCTTCTCCTTTCTAAATATTTTCATATTCATTCATCAAAGGTCTCAAATCCATACTTACAATCTCTAAACCTATAGGATGAATGGTGTACCACAACCCACGCCTCCACTGGCTTGACCTCTGAAGTTCTCTCCTCCACCACCACTCCCACCGAAGCTGCCGAGTCTCTCCTCAAATACATCAAATCATGGGTTCCCGAACCCCGTCGCGCATTACTCGCTGGAAATAGTGTTCATGCCGATAAAGCATTCTTGAGCAAAGGACCTTACAAACAAATCATCAAGCATCTACATTATCGAATCTTGGACGTGAGTAGTATCAAAGAAGCTGCCAAGCGTTGGTGCGATTTAAGAGTCTTGGTGGATCAACCAAAGAAACAGGGAAAACATCGAGGGAGAGAAGATATTCTGGAGAGTATTGAGGAGGCAAGATATTGGAAGGAGAGAGTTTTTCAACAAGTACCGGTTTCGAAGTGAGGGCTTGGTAGAATTAGTTTTCATATGCGGAATTTCTGATTTCGTTAGGCATGAACATGAACAGATGCTTTCGTGGCATTGATGAGTGGGATGATCATGTTGATACTTTGTTGTGAGTATGTTTGTGCAGATTGATACTTCCAATGAAGAGAATGGAGGGCTGCATTGCTACGTTATGAGGATGGCAGGAAAATTGTTGAAGCTGGTTAATTGATCGCCAACATCAATAATACGAGTGTACTTAAGTAGACAGACAATACTACCAAATTTTTCTTCATGGTGCTCCCGTCTTATCGCATGATGGCGTCACGCTAGGAATTATCCATGCGCATTGAAAGGAACTGGTTACATACCACCTGCAACGGCAACCTTATGTAGAAAACCACCCGATAATCTTCGATGGGGACAGTGGCATACATATATGGATTTGTCATGGACGCTTGAGAGACGTCGAGATTATATGGTTGTTGGATTTGGATGAGAATATTCGAATCTGTATGGTGTAATAGTACATTTTCAATCTTATATAATCTAAACCGGAAGGAGATTAAGTTCGACTACCTAAGCTTAAAGGGCCGTCTGATAGTTTATGAGATGAGGCTGAAAGCTATTTCAAATCTGGATAAGCATATTAGATACTTGCTACGACCCTTTTGATATTTATGGTGGACACTGGATGGGATTTATAACTACTAGGTGCACCAAAATATATTTATTAGTAATTAAGGTTACATAATATCTGATAAATCATTCCCTCACCTTTCTATCGTAGCTTCTCGTATTAAAGAATTATAAAATCATGATAAATCCGGATTTTGACGACGTCAGGAATTAGATAGAATAGCCTAATATCAAATATGTATATATGGCAATATCAAAAAATACGTAGTTCCTATAGCCAGCTATTAAGAGTATGGATGAGGTAATCCATCCATCCATCATCTGAGATCTTCACCCCTCATCCCATCACGAAGAGTGGAGTCATCAAATCCATTCATACCAGGTATGCATCCCTACCCAGGACATCCATACCCAGTATCGTACACATTGTGCAAGGCAAGTTCCTCTCAACGAATGCCCCACCAAACGAACTTCTCCACCCAGGAGCTAATATCAACACCGCTGGTTGAGCTTGTCTTGTTGGCATCAAAAACTCCTTGCCCCCTTTTTAATTCTCATAACATACCTGTACTCTTCTTTCTCAACCTCATCCTTTACGTCGAATTACATCGCATCAGAAATCATGAGTGTCAAGACTGTTTCTTTGAAACCTTTTACCGATCAGAAGCCAGGAACGTAAGTTACTTGTTTGGGGGAGCTTGAACCCCACCCCACCTCTCCTCTTCTCTCTTCTGTCGGATTGAATGTTCCACTTGGTCGAGATGGACGGGAATATTGGTTACCACTGAAGATTATACAAAAACCGAATATCAAAGTTCATTTTACTTGATTTCAATCCAGTCCAGTTTGCTAATATCTCGATTACACAGTTCTGGTCTCCGTAAAAAGGTCGTTGTTTTTCAACAAGAACACTACAGCGAGTCCTTCGTTACCTCTATCCTCCTCTCCATCCCCGAAGGTGTCAAGGACAGTTTCCTCGTGATTGGTGGTGATGGACGATACTGGAACCCGGAGGTTGTGCAATTGATTGCAAAGATCGGTGCCGCATACGGTGTGAAGAAGTTGTTGATTGGTCAAAATGGTATCTTGAGTACCCCCGCTGCATCGCATGTTATCAGAAAGCGAAAGGCGACTGGTGGTATCTTGTTGACTGCTAGTCACAATGCTGGAGGTATGTTTTAGTCTTTTTCTTCATTTTGGGGGTTGGGATCGTGAGGTCGAATGGATCCGAGTGATGATGTAAAGTGAAAAGAGAGATCATGGCTAATATTTTGATTGGTGATTAGGTCCAAAGAATGATTTCGGTATCAAATACAACCTCGCAAATGGTGGACCGGCTCCAGAATCAGTTACAAACAAGATCTTTGAAGCTTCGAAAACTCTTACCGAATACAAGATTGCCGATATCCCAGAGGTCGACATTGCTACAATTGGTACAAAAACATATGGTTCATTGGAGGTTGAGATTATCGATTCGTGTGCCGATTATGTTGAGATGTTGAAGGACATCTTTGATTTCCCTCTCATTAAGAAATTCTTCGAAACGCACACCGATTTCAAGGTTCTCTTCGATGCCCTCTCTGGTGTCACTGGTCCTTATGGAAAGGCTATCTTTGAGACTGAATTAGGTCTTCCAAGCTCCAGCACACAAAACTGTATTCCTTCACCAGATTTCAATGGAGGCCACCCAGATCCTAACTTGACCTACGCTCACTCACTTGTTGAGGCTGTTGACAAGGGAAAGATCCACTTTGGTGCTGCAAGTGATGGAGATGGAGATCGTAACATGATTTACGGTGCTAATGCATTCGTCTCCCCTGGTGACAGTCTTGCAATCATTGCTCACTATGCACAATCTATCCCATACTTCAAGAAACAAGGTGTCTATGGTCTTGCCCGCAGTATGCCAACATCTGGAGCTGTTGATCTTGTTGCTAAAGCACAAGGTCTTAACTGCTATGAGGTTCCTACCGGATGGAAATTTTTCTGTGCTTTGTTCGATGCCGATAAACTTTCCATCTGTGGTGAGGAATCTTTCGGTACTGGATCAAACCATATCCGTGAGAAGGATGGTCTTTGGGCTGTCGTTGCTTGGTTGAACATTATCGCCGCTATTGGTGAGAAGGATCCAAGCGTTACTCCAAGTATTGCCAAGATTCAACATGATTTCTGGACTATCTATGGACGTACCTTCTTCACTAGATACGATTATGAGGATGTTAGCAGTGAGGGTGCTGCAAAGGTTGTTAAGGATTTGAATGCCAAGATTGAGGATTCTTCATTCATTGGTAGTAAGATTGGTGGTAAGTTTTTTCTGTCAGTTTTTTGATGTCATGACAAAGTAGCTCACATATTACCTCACAGACCGTACAGTTTCTGACGCTGGTGACTTCTCCTACACTGATCTCGATGGCAGCGTTTCTCCCAACCAAGGTCTTTACGTTAAATTCTCTGATGGATCCCGAATCGTTGTTCGTCTCAGTGGTACCGGTTCTTCGGGTGCTACTATCAGATTGTACATTGAGAAACATACAGATGATAAGAGTACCTATGGTCAAGATGCTCAAGTATTCTTGAAGGATAATGTAGACTTCGCTGTGGAGTTGTTGAAGTTTAAGGAGTATATCGGTAGAACCGAGCCAGATGTTAAGACTTAAATTTGTCTGAAGGACATGTGGGGTTGAAAATAGAAGAAATAGTTGTGAAAAGTAGTTTTAGCGTTGCAAGCATGCAAATACGATATCAATACAATGTTGTTCATTATGAAGATTATGAAGATTTTATTGTTTTGTCGTTTGAGAATGAATGTGTAAGGTAAGGGGAGTTTAATTGTTTGATTGGTTGGTATTGGGAGTCTGGGAATTTGAGATTTGGGATGATAGTTGAGTGGGTGAGTTTAAATGGGGTAATGTTTGGGTATGAGTACCTAGGTAAAATAGGTGACGTTTGGTCGTTTTGAGAACATATAATAGGATGATATAGATGAACAATTGGAATGATATTTGGAAAGGATAGGAAAAAAGCGGGTAGAGAAGGTGTTATGAGGTAAAATGATGTGAGGATGTAAAATTGGAGAAGTATGAAGATTGAAGATTGAATTATTCTGGAATGGGGGGTTGGGAGTGAGGGATTGGGATGAGGGATTGATGAAGATAGGGTATATAGTGTTGAAAGGGGTGGGAATGAGAGATAAGGGAGGGAGGGAGAGGGAGAGGGAGAAGATGGGGGAGGGATGAAATAAAAGAAGGATAGAGGGCAGAGATGGGGAGATGGGGAGGGTAGAGATGTGGCGGGTAGAGATGGGGGAGATGGAAAGATGGATAGTATAAAGATAATAAAAAAGAGTAATTTTGAAGAGGGTATGTTGATAGAATAAGAGGGAAGAAGGAAGAAAAGGAAAGAAGGAAGGAGAAAGGAGATAAAGAGGGTGGAAGGTAGAAGGTAGGTAGATAGATAGATAGGTAGGTAGATAGATAAATAGCTCGGTAGAATACACTCTATAGGTACCTATACCTAGGTACCTAGTATATACCTAGAATCTCTAACAAACCCCCTCTCATCTCATATTCTATCCGAGGATTTCCGGCACGTGATACGATACCCGGCCCAAGTACCGGGCTGTGATTGGAGTTGGGACAGGGATTGTGTGAGCGCGCTTGCGCTTGTATTGGTGCTTGCGCTAGTGTCTCGGTAATGTAGTGGATATGTTTTGTAGTCCGAGCTTTTGGAACTTTACTCCGTAAGCGATGTATATGGATTATGATAGGGTGGATAGGAATAGGAGGAGGTGGGTGCTATGTTGGTTTTGTTGTTTCTGTGGGGGGTATTGAGGTTGGGTATTAAGGTTGGGGATTGGTTTAGGTGGGTAGGTAGGTAGGTAGGTAGGTATGTGAAGTCTAATTCTGGTTCTGGTTCTGGTTCTGAGGTCTGAGGTCTGAGGAATTGATTAGAATGGAAGATTTATGATGGATGGATGGATGAATAGATTGATTGATAGGTATTGTCTGGAAACTTTTAGATTGGGTGGAATATGGAATATGAAAGAAGGGTTGGTAGATTATGTGTTTGGGAAGATGTTGGATGTTGGGTTTTGAGAGGGGGTGGTGAGGTGGAGAGAGGGGGTGGTGAGGTGGAGGGAGGGGTAGGTGGGTGGGTAGATTGGGTAGACTGGGGGTGATGATGATGATGATGGATGGGGAAAAGGAAGGGGTGGAGGAGAGTGGGGAGTGTGATTTGAATGGTTGGAAGGTTGGAGGGAGTGTGTTTTTGAAAGGGGTATTTGATTTTTCTTGGAGGGGATGGTTTTGGGATAGGAAGGGGGGAGGGAGAAGAGGAAAGGGGGGGAAGGGAAGGTGGTAGTGAATGGGATGTTTGGAGTT